ACGGGGAGCAGCCCCGGAAGCTGCCCAAGCGCAAGATCGTGCTGCTCATGGCCTATTCGGGGAAGGGCTACCACGGCATGCAGGTACGGGGCTCGGGGCCGCTCCGCTCGCCGGGGACCGCGCTCTGGCCCCGGGGAGGGGCCTCGGAGCGAGCGAGGCGCCTCGGGAAAGGGCCGGAGACCCGCTCTTCTGCGCCGCGCTGCGGGCGAGGCCGAGATGGCAACCCCAGCGCTTGGACCTGGCTGCATCCATGGGAGATGCTGCACCAGGGCGTTGGCTGGCTCCCACGGTAGTCGCAGGCCCGCCCTGCCGCTGACCAGGGTCCTGGCCTTGGGCGTGTGATGGGCGCTCTCCGCGCCTGCCGGATGCCGGGACCTGAGACCCAAGCGCAGCCAGGAAGGCTCCCTGGAGGCAGCTGCCCGCGGGCAAGCAGGTGCCCTTTTAGGAGTCTCTCCCCAGCTCCCCAACTGGGTCCTTTTGAGAAAGGCAGCCTGTGCCCCCCAAAGGCACGTAGATTTTCTTGCTCCTGGTGCTCAACTCTGGTCAGCCTGGCTCACAGTGAGAAATAAATTCACTGCTGGGACGGGGTGTGCAGGTGGAGGAAGTTTGGAAAAAGGTGGTGTCACCTTTACTGGGAATAGCGGTAGGAAGTTACTTTGTATCCTGTTTTATTTTTCAAAAGCATAGGCTGCACCGTGAAGCCCAGTTCATGACAGACAGCGGTAGCCCCGGCGACAGACAGCGGTAGCCCCGGGTGTTTGTGGGAGCAGACCGTCCACCTGTGCTGCTCTTGGACCCGGAATGCTTTTCTGTGGTTACGTGAATTTTGCCTTAGGGCACTGTCTTAAGAATTTAGAGAGAAAGGTCCGTCATCTTCCATTTGCCTCAGTTTCCCCATCAGGGAAATGGGTGGAGAGTGACAGTAGCACACAGGGTGGACGGAAGGACGGATTGAAATGGTGGGGGTAGGGTTGTTATCACTATTTGTTTTTTAGAGAGAGACTTCAACTTGTTGTTTCACCTAAACTGGCAAGTTGTTTCGTACAGGCTGTGCATGAAACGACGGGCTTAGGAAAAGACAGGGATGCCAAACCCAGCCCCGGCTGGCAGTATTCCGGGTCTGTTCCTCTGAGCGAGAGGCCGGCCTCCCTACACTGATGAGGAAGGGGGTCCCTCTGCAGTGGGGGCTGCAGACAGACGTGTCCAGCGGCAGGAGGGGGCTGGTTTCAGAGCTGGCAGGTGCAGGACACGGCGACACCTGCTGTGGGCTGTTCCGCCGCTGCCCAGGGTGGGGATTCCTGGAGACTCTGGGTACCCTCAGGTGGCCTCCCCCCTTCCCCTGGGAAGGGGACGAGCTGCATGGCCACAGGTGCGGTCCCCATGCTGCGGGCGCGGGCACGCTGCACCTGCCCCTGCCTGCTGGAGCAGACTGGGCCCTCTCTCGTGGTCGGTGACCGGGCGAAAACC